CCCCCATGTGATGGCAATAAAGTAAAAATAAATAATTTACAAATGTAAAAAATAAAGGTAAATAAAATTAAAAATAACCCCAAAAAGGTTTATAGTCCCCTGACCCCGCGAACGAGCGCATACTAACGGAAACACAAGTCTGGTGCACCTACGTACGAAAACGATGACTACGCTACACATGTCAGATATCACTGCTTATGCCAGCGTGAGATAAATAATTCTCGTCTCAATATTCATGGCTAGCTCTAAATTGATGACTGGGCTTTTATATATTTTTTTTATATATGTGTGTGTGTGTGTGTGTGTGTGTGTGTGTGTGGGATTTTTGTTATTTTATTATATTAGCTTGAAGTTTTACAATTCAGATTATTTTGAATCCATGAAACTAATTAAAATGTCCATCTACCATACAATTATTTAAAACAAAATATAAAAAGGTGGGAAAAGTCATTTTTGGTTTCGGCCTGACAAATTCTGCTGTGGGATGTGCATTGTAGTGCCATTCATTTAAAGGGCACCCAAAAGGAGCCTCCCATCCGCAGTGTGATGGCCCACACTGGAATGCGCGATACTGCAATGCCATGCTTTTCAGTATAGTGCATTTGCAAAAAATGCCATGCAGTTTTATTCTAAAGTAAACTTTATGTTTGAAATACTCCATTTGTGTATTTCATTTTAAATAAGAGGGTATATAATTTTTTTTTACCGATTTAATTGAAAAATATAATCTGCCAACTAATTATGAAAACAACCATTAGTTGCAGCCCTATATTTTTTTTTTATTTGAGTTCCAGACAAGATTATTTTTTTTTTTTTGGATAGCATGAGGAATGGGTAGAACTTATGAACTTAGGTTTCAATCACTGTCTTAGGGAGATTTACTTTCACTTCCTATTGTGCCACCACAGGGAAGATGAAAAAAGATTGTTGCTACCAGGTAAAAAGACCGCAAAAAAAAGGAGGTTTATTAGTAGAGATGGGAAGGGTTCGCTCCCCTGTCATATTTTTGTTGTATACCCATTGAGGAAATTTCCTTATTTTTTTGTCACTGTAATAAGTGGTGGTGGCAATACCAACTTGAGAGGTTCTAATCCTCCCCCTTTCTACGGAAAACATATTGTCTGGTGTTCCACTTAAGGTAGGGAGCAGTTTGGTGTGTTGAAGTGGCAAACTCTTTTGGGGTTTAAGTCTGTTATTACTTTTTTTTTCATTTTTTTCTTTTCATTTGTTTTACTCTAAACCAGTGGTCCTCAACCCGTGTAACCTCGGGACCATAGTGCAGGCCGGAACTATAACTTAATTGTCGGGAGCCGCGGCTCCTGATATTATTGCGCCGGCCCGAAAGTGAGGAAATAGTCCCCTCTCTCCCCGGGCCATACCACTTTATCTGAGAGCCCGGGGGAGGCCGGGAGAGAGGGGACAGTTTGACATGAGGTTCCACAGGCTGAACCACAAATTCCCCCTCTCTATTCAGTCTCAGGTCGGTCTATTCAGACATGACGCCGCGACCCACTGCAGAGGGTGTCGCGACCCACTTTTGGGTCGCGACCCACGAGTTGAGAACCACTGCTCTAAACACTATAACATTTGAATAGAAATTTGTGTACAAAAACTACATTTCTTTTGTTTTATGTTGTCTTTTACAGACACTATGCATTTTTGACAGTTTTGGCACACTTGTGTTTGCAGTCTTCATGGGAATATGGGGTAAGATTGTTTTACTTTATTGTTGCTATGGGGTAAGACTTCTTTTATGTCGCTGTGGGGTAAGATTGCTTTATGCTATTGTCTCTACTTGTATATTGTGTGTTCATTTGATTATTGATGTACAAAATTCCAAGAGATGTAACTGTGCAGTAGTCATTTTGTGGAAAAGCAAGATTTTGCATTCTTGTCTCTGCTGTCATCTCTAAGATATGGTTTAAGTCTTATCCATTGGTAAAATGTTAGGCGAATATCTTATCTGCACACTAAGTGTGGTAATTGTAATTTTTCTCACACATTTAATACCATGCAGAGCAAAGTAACATGTTTGAAGATGACCCCACTAGAAGCTTATACTTACCTTTCCCTTGCTCCCCCAACAAAGTCATGACTCTCTTCCCACCCTATGTGACAGCGCTGGGAGACTGAGAGGCCAACGCCATTTCTGTAAATAGGAACGAAGAGTGAGTAACATGCTACCCATACATGGAAGTTATGGGTATTCTTCTATGCTACCAGTGGCCAAATGGAGCAGGGGAGTGACGGGAAAGTAAGTATAAACTGCTGAGCTGGCCTCAGTAGAGTTAACACTTTCCACTGCATGCGTAAAGCACAAGTTCAATTAAAGTTAGTATGCTTTTTACATGCCCAATCCAATGGTCCAAATGACCCACTTCAGACACACTGACTCTCTGATTGAACGTAGAAATAGGTAGAGAATTTAGTAAGGGTTTGTAGCAACCTTGTGTGCCCTAAATCTGGATGGCACATTAATACGGGGAGAAAGAGTCATGAACATGAAAACGTTACTGCTTGATTCTCAGAATCATATAATAAGCCAGTGGGTGCTTCAGCTAACCAGCATTCAGTTTTGGCCAGGCTTAAAGGATAGGCACACCTTTGTAATAAAAATATTATATTGCTCCTTATATTCAGCTGATTCATTTTCAGGAGCTATACATTTATTTCTATGCATGACAGGCCTTGTATAATTCCTGGAAATCTTTATGAAGGTAAAAAGAGAGTTACAAAGAAAATGGAAGTTATTTCCAACATCACTTTAGTTGAGCTCCTCCAAATTGATCTCTGGTAGCCAATTATAAGCTACCCTGAGAAACATGGGATTGGGATATGCCTCTTATGATATAAATCCCTGCCCTCTGAACCTAGAGCCTCTTTTATGTGTCTGCAGATGGCTTAGAATAAATGGAATAAACTTTGAACTTGTGGGACCTTTCATGGCATCGATCTAAGGTTAAATTTAGGAACTTGCTCCATTTCCCTTTATATAATAAGACGCTAACATGTTTAAAAATGCACGCATGCTTCAAGTTGAATGGTAACCTTGCAAAAATTAGAAAACTGGGTTTTAATGAGAAGTATCATTATATTAGTGTCCTGGTGTTTTATAGTTACCTTATTTCTTGAGTTCTGGAAGCGACGACAAGCTGAGCTTGAGTATGAATGGGACACAGTTGAGTTTTTAGAACAAGAAGAACAGCCTCGTCCTGAATATGAAGCAAAATGTACTCATGTAGTTGTGAATCCAATTACTCAGGTAAATGGTATTGTATATTTACTGCTGGAACTCTGCTCCCTTAAAAGATGCTTTTCTGAGTTCTTTGTGATAAACTGTATTTTTCATTCTTTACCTGTATTCAGCAAGAAGAACACGTGCCTTACACAGCCTGTGGAAAATGTCTGAGGATGGCCCTCTGCACAAGTGCAGTGTTTTTCTGGGTAATTAATCTTATTACAAAGCTTCTTGGGGATTGGCTTTTTCTTATGTAGCTTACAGGTTACATGTATATTGATTTATTATTTTTTAGTGCAGGATGAACAAGTGTCTGTTGCTGGCTACTGAGACCCCAGAGAACCCAGCTTTGATGAAGGCACATTGGTTCTGCCCCTTCTGGTCCATTACCTGGCTTCTCACAGCCTCATCCTCACTGGTCCCCCTCTTATTTATAACCACTGAATATAATTTTTTGTCTTAAAATAGTATTAAAGGAGAACTGTATTAAATAGTATTAAAGGAGTCCTCCCGTCACCCAAAGCTCAGTACTTCGCGAGCTACAGCATGCGGTATACTGAGATGCCGCAGCCGGGATGGATCCCGACATTACTGTCTGGATCCACCCAGCTGCGTGAGTGAAAGCTGGCTCTGCCTATCTAGAGGCAGAGCCAGCTGTACCCGCCCTTTCCGCCAGTCAGAGCTGGAGGATCGGACAGGGGAGGGGGGGGAATCCCTGCAGGGCTCTCTACACGGACAGGATCGAGAAGTGAGCGAGTGACAGTATTTGTTCACTCACTTCCCGATCTATTGAGCCAACCTGTGACAGTTTAATTGTCACAGGTCGGCTAGAACTATGGGGCACTCGCCTCATAGTTCTCCTTTAAACTCTCAAACTTTTTTCAATATAGAATCCAGATCAAACAACTATACTGTACATTGCCCAGCAAAGTATTCACAAGCAAATTGCTTCATGCTCCATTCTGTAATTGGCGAGGAGGAGGGGAGGATGAACATGCAACTGCAGCACTGAAGTCTGTGGGCACTATAGCTGGACTGGGCTTGGAAGTTCAGCCGGGGCTGAATTTCCATCCACATGTTTAGCTGATGATGTGCAAGGAGAAGAAGCCTGTACTGAATATTAAATGTGGGTTTTTAGAAAAAGCACTGCATCTTACTGTACTCCAGTAAGATTATTGTGCCCGGAGCTGGGCTTTGGGTCTGTGTTATGTAAACTTGGCATCGTACTTTGGCATTAAAAAAAGGAAATTCCTTCAACTGGCTACATGCCTTGCCCAGATGCCAACCAATCGGCTGTTATTCTTTGATACTACAGCTTAGGCTGATTTTTTTTTTTTGGTAATTTCATTGTACAGCCAAAATATACCATCGGAATAAAAATTCATAAAAAGCGTATTGTATATACCGGACTTCAGTCTTGCATAGTTAAAGGGTTTTCCACTTAGGTCTGCCCATTCGCATCTACTTTGGCATTAGTTAGAGATAAACAGGAATTGGTAGACATTTCTCTGTTCTTACTTAGTAACTTCATTTCTAAACTCCCCTCAATACCAGAGATTGCTCTCTGGCCTGTGTTGATAGGCTTTGGCCTTGTGTCGATGGCATCAGTTTGAGACACTTCTGAGATCACGTAGAGTTCATTGACTGGTGCATTTGACCTGCAGTTGACTTTTTTCTGCCCTGCATTTGACCTGCTTAAAGCAGTTTTGCATTCCCATGGACTTGTATAGAAATCCAAAACCCATTTGAAGCAAACAAAAGCCTGTCAACACAGGCCCTTTCAGAATTTGAAGCAGCTTCTATTTCTCTATCATTTAAATAGTAAACGTTAACCTTGTATGCATTTTCACAGATCATGTTGATCGTGGCATCAGTAGTTGGAATTATTGTGTATCGACTTTCTGTATTTCTGGTATTTTCTGCAACGTTACCAAGAAACATTATTGGAAAAGAAGCCATCCAGAAATACCTGACTCCACAGGCAGCCACCACTGTCACAGCATCAATTATCAGCTTCATCATTATCATGCTGCTAAATATGCTGTACGAGAAAGTTGCAATAATGATCACAGACTTCGGTGAGAATTAGAGCCCCTTTTTTTATTATAGCTAAAACGCCAGTAGAAGATGAAAAATCATTTTATTCCAATTATGTTTTTCAAAACAGACACTCCATAGTAAGTTCTCGTAATCTGCCTTCATATTAACTTCATGTGATACCATACCTATCACAAAAGCTGTCTAAAAGCAGGAGTGCAAGCATTACAAAAACAGACACTATTGCATAATGCTGCTATCTTAATCAGTTCCAGGCACTGGGGTGGAGGGAAGGCATTAGGCTGATAGGAAAAGTAATTTGGTTTATAAGAGGGGGAGAGCACATTGAAGATTTAGCCAGTGGGGAAGCTGAGCTTATTTTTAGTCCTGTAAGCAAATTGCAGTTGTGAAGGTGCACAGGAAACTAAGGGCCTGTAGTTCCTGAGTAGCAATGTCACCCAATAGATATAATGTGTGAATGGTGAAACTGTTTCATTTGTAGGGCCCTGTTCACTGATTTTCTGCATGTCTACCAGTAAATTAAATATCAGTTGATTTTAATAGGAAACTTGCTGGTTAATTATGCAAGCTTTTCCCTCAATTGGGACTATTCAAAGCACACATTGGAGTGTCCAAGATATGTAAGAAACCAGTGGCTGAGCCATCCCGCCTGGCCTTATATATACATAAATTCCACTTTTGAGCTTGCTGTTTTTTTTTAAAAAGTATTGAAACTGGCAGTTACAGTAGGGAGCCCCTGGAAGCAGTTAAAGTCCATCACTGAATTGGTAATGCTATGCACAAAATTGTGATAGTGATAAATTCCACTGAATTTTGCATTCATCCAGTTTGAGTTTCATACTATCCAGTACAGGCAGATTTAGCAGGCTTCTCACACAGTTTTGGCTGTGTCATAATTTCGTGCGATGCAACCTCCTTCTCTTGCTCCAGTGAATTAGCTATTAGCTATAACGACAACTGTGGGTATTTAGGTAGCTGAGCATGCTATGATAAGCAACATGTTAAAAAAGTCATTTATCAGACATGGGTAGCGTCATAAGTCCTTAATAACAGAATTTTCATGCTGAACTAGAGTGGTCCTCTAATCTGCTGTTTCCTTTTTAAGAACTTCCAAGGACAAAGACAGAGTATGAAAACAGCCTTACCACCAAGATGTTTCTATTCCAGTTTGTGAACTACTACTCTTCTTGTTTCTACATTGCCTTCTTTAAGGGGAAATTTGTAGGCTACCCTGGAGATCCAGTGTATTGGTTTGGAAGATACCGTAATGAGGAGGTATGCAACCTCTAATCTTACTGAGATTTCAACTGCATCAACCACAAAAACACCACCCAGATCTTAATTTTCTCTAAAAATATGTTTCTTGACTTTCCTGTTTTTTTCAGTGTGACCCCGGTGGATGTCTTCTGGAGCTTACAACACAACTGACAATTATAATGGGAGGGAAAGCTATATGGAATAACATTCAGGAAATTCTTGTACCGTAAGTCACTAAAAATACTTTTTCATTTTCTTTTCCATTGCATTCATGCTTGAAAAATAAGATATTAAACTATAGCGATTCCACTTCAATTACCTGAAACCTCCACAGTCTTCACATCTGTCTTGAAATTATACTATACCTCCCTGACACCTACTTACATCATCTCTCCATATTCAGCATTTCACAATACTATTATCATCCTCTTATAAGTTATTTATTCTTTATAAATTATTTATAATTTTTATAGCATAATATTAAAAATGTTGGATAAAAAATCTCATTGCACGATTTCGCTCTTCGGGAATAGAAACAATTAAGCCAAGATGGGAACAAGACTACCATTTACAACCTCTTGGAAAATTGGGATTGTTCTATGAATATCTTGAGATGGGTAAATTGTGTAGTATTTGTAACTTTTGTTCATACAGGTTCTTTATGAAAATATGTTAATGATAAAGCAGCCTCTAAATTATTATATTTATACATAGTCGTATGTGTTTGTATACACACATCTTTTAATTGCCTTAGCTCCCCTCTCTTTTTCCTTTTTTCTTTTTCTCTCTGTCTTTCTCTGTCCCTCTCGCTTTCTTTTATCCTCCCTTTGTCTCCCCCCCTCCTTTCCTGATCCTTTGATCCCCCTCATCTTCCCTGTTTGCTCACTTTCTCCCCCTCCACCTATGATTCTGCCCCAGCCTCCGCTGTTGCTTAACCCCTCACCTCATCATAGAATAAGTACAAATCTACATATTGATGGCTGTTTCTCATGTAGAATATTGTGATAGGTCCTTTAGATTATGCCTTACCATTACTGTTTATGCCTTACGATTATTGTTGTTTTTATACTTGTCTTTATGCCTTCTCTCATAACAGTGATTCAGTTTGGATTTGTCACCCTGTTTGTGGCATCGTTTCCACTTGCACCTCTTTTGGCACTTGTGAATAATTTATTAGAAATTCGGGTTGATGCCTGGAAGCTCACCACCCAGTTCAGGCGTATGGTAACAGGAAAAGCACAACACATTGGAGCCTGGCAGCCAATCATGCAAGGAGTAGCCATACTTGCTGTGGTGACCAATGTACGATAAGTATAAAATGGCTTCCTTTTTCATTTAGAAATGGAGCTTTGCAGTGATTCTGCAACCAGTGTTTCCAATTTGTTATTCCTATACAGCCTTTAACCCTTTCGCTGCCAAGCCCTCCAGAACGCTTTAACCTTCAGCTGGCCAGACCCCCCAAACCATATATTTCCTGAAAGCACAGGCCCGGTAGAATAAAAAGAGGGTGGTATTAATTTTGTAGGTCCTGCGATAATTGCGTAAATGTTTATCAAATCAATATTAAACTGATAAAAATACACAAATTGATAAAAGCACACTAAAATCAGTATCGGTGCACAAAAAAAATACTTTTCAGACTAAATCTAAAAGATAAAACTGTATTGCGTTAATAAATAACAAATATTTGTAAAATTTTAATTGCGCTTTTTTTGCGAAACAGTAAAAAAAAGTAGTAACGCAAAACTGTAAATAAAAAATCGTTTGTGTGCTGCGTTGGTGTGTTGTGATAAACTGATACAGGCGTACATTTAATCACAACACAGTGCATCACAACGGATGGCAATGCGTCAACGCTTTACCATGCGCTGCCACAGTTAAATTTGTTATTTTAAAAAGAAAAAAAATCAAGCACTGCGATGCATTTTAACAATTCACTGCAGCACATGTGCATGGCGTAGACCACAATGTGGTGCACACTGTTGCACGTGTATGTTAACTGTGTGTGGGGGGGTTATTGTTTTTATTCTTATTTACTTATTTACTGTTGTGGGGGCTTTGGGGA